TATCCTTCTTCCTTTCACTTTAACACAGCTGTTTCCCACCCCACCAACATTAATCCTTTCAAAGTAACAGCCAGAGTGAATGGAAGACTGCACTTTAATAACATGATTAATCATTAACTGTTATACTGAAAATATAAATCCACAGACTTGTAATTCTAAGATGATTTATACCACCCCTTAGCAAGCATGAACATTTAGTAGTAATTTCTGCTGAACTAAAGAGATCCAGCTTGATGAAATGATAAAACAAAGTTGTTTTTGTACTATTAAATTATTTAATAGTATTTCCTAACACTGATGTAAAGAATGCTTCTATAAATACTTTCCTCAGAATACTTTTAGATGAAAAACATTCCCTTCAACTGCTGAGGACTTCTAAGCATCTAAATTTCCAAAATTCTTTAAATTTCAACTAAGCATTCAATTTTACTTTAGAAACAGCATGCATATTTCAGGAAAGTTAAATCCACCTTAAGAATCCATGATAATTCATGTTGTCTTTAAAAATATCAGAAAACACTCTAATGTCCTATATGTAAATGTGCTTTGTAAATTTTACAATTCCATGAAAGTTTTACATACTTTTCTTTAAGAATCAAAATAGCTAAAATTACTGAAGTAGGGAAATTTAGGTGCTGAAAGACCTATAAAATTTCTTCTAAATCAAGAGATACAATCATTTATAGAAAAACACTCAACTTCCCCACTAAAGAAACCTTGGGCAACCTGGGTTAATCTTACAATGCGCACAGCTCTGAGCCTAGAATGCCTTCTCCAGCAAACCTGTCCAAGCCAATCTCAGGTCCCTCTGCCTCCCTACCTCTCCTTTGAATACCAGCACCAGCACTGAGGAATCATCCTGCTGTGTCTCACCACAATCGGGCAACAACACCTATAATTAGTTTTGGCTCAAGGTTAGATATTACTGTATCTTCCTTATGCTTTTACTTGTGTGAGGGTAGAATTCCAGTGCACCCCTGCCACACTGCAAGTACCTGAGCTCTGGTGTACACACTTCTTCCAGTTATTCAAGCAAACACTAATCTAGGTGCAGCTACAAAGGGTTTTGCAGATATAATTAAGGTCTCAAATCAGCTGACTTTTTTAAAAGGCGATTATTCAAGTAGGTCTGCCTAATCACATAATCCTTTAAATCTGAGCCCAAAGGTCAGCAGTAAGAGAAGTCTGAAATATCTGAAGCATGAGAAGAATTGGACACAAGAAGATTCTCCACGGCTGGCTCTGAAAATGGAAAAGACCATGTGGCAAGGAACATGGGCAGCAGCTGACAGACAGCAAGGAGACAGGACCCCTGAAGTCCTGCTGCCCCAAAAGAACAGAATTCTGCCAACAACCCGAATGCACCTGCATGCAAATTTCTTCCCAGAGCCTTCTGACAAGAACTTGGCCAACACTTTGATTTCAGCTTTGTGATACCTAGAGCAGGAAGTCAACCCAGTTGCACTGTGTCAGGACTTCTAATCTACAGAACCATGAGTTACCTAATGGGTGTTATTTAAGTCACTACATTTGTGAAAATTTGTAATGGCAGCAGTAGAAAACTAAATACAATGTATGTATGTATGTACATCATTCTCTCCTGGGAGGTTGTTGGTAGTGTGGAGACAAGCTATAATCCTTTGAAATGTCTTAAGCATACTGCTGGGGACCAAACAGAAACACAGTACAATAAATTATTGCTACATGAACTGAATAGAACAGAACAGAAAGGATGAGCAAGTGACACAGATGAGGGTGACCTCAAGAAGATTCCAGGCAGCCCTTGGGGGTACTGTGCTTATGCCTACTTATTTTCTATATGCTGTGGGAAAGGGAACTAGAATGAAAGGATCACAGCAAGGCAAAAATCTAAGGCAACTGGGCATGATGGTTCACGCCTGTAATCCTAACACTTTAAGAAGCCAAGGTGGGTAGATTGCTTGAGTCCAGGAGTTTGAGACCAGCTTGGACAATGTGGCAAAATCCCACCTCTACAAAAAATACAAAAAAAAGTAACCGAGCATGGTGGCACATGCCTGTCATCCCAAGTACTTGGGAGGCTGAGCTGGGAGATCCATTGAGCCAGGGAGGTCGAGGCTGCAGTGAGCCATGACTGTGCCACTGCACTCCAGCCTGGGTGACAAAAGAAGACCCTGTCTCCTCTATTTAAACATTAGCTGCGAAGAGGAGAGTCAAGACAAAAAAAAAAAAGCACTATTTCAGGAAGTACTCTGCCCTTTCCAGATTCTCCTGAGGCTGCTGCTTAGATACAAAAGACGCCCACAGGGAATACTTAGGCAGCCCTCCGGTAAGCAAGCCCTGTAGCCATCAGAGTTAAGATTTCCACCATATTGGATTCCCGGGAATTTCCAGCCTCCTGAAGGCATCTGACCACTCTCAGAAGCCTGTGGTAGTAGAAGTTGATGGATGCACCCTTTGAAGTCAAAACAATTATTCTTCTCAATATGTCCTAGTGATATTCCTTGGTCCTAGCACAGCTGGAATCAAAATGCACCAGTCACAAACAAGGAGCAATTACTCACAATGCATACATCTGGCAAAGGAGTCTAATCAAGAGAATGTAATAAACTTCTAAACATCAATATACTTTTTTTAAAAAGCCCAATTAGAAAAAATAATTAGGCACTCCACGAAAGATCTGGAATGTTCAATTAGCTTATGAAAAGTGATTGATATCATTAGCCATCAGAGAAACAAATTAAAACAAGGCAATACACTACTACACACTTAACAAAATGGCTAAAAGTCAAAATGGCTAACAGTTAAAGACGGACAATGCCCTGTATTGTTACAAATATGGAGCAACTGGCATTCTCATACTTTGCTGGTAATAATGCAACTTCTTTGAGAAATACTGTTTAACAGTTTCTGAGTTAAATGTGTGCCTACCTTCTGACTCAGTATTTCCACTGCATGTCAAGAGAAACAAAAGCATCTATCTACACAAAGACTTGTAAAAGAATGTTAAGAGCGGCAAAAACTGTAAATATTCAAATATTCATCAGTCGTGGTATGTTTATACAATGCAACAGATATACTGAATGAATGAATGACTCTCAAAAATATTGTTTCAAAAAGGAACCTAGGCAGACACAAAAGAGTATGTTCCCTATTGTCCTATATTATTCTGTGATATAGCTAGCCTAGAGTTAGAACCTGTACACTGCCATTTTATAAGAGACAAAACTGTTTCCATACTCCTCACAATGAATGCTAACCTTGGCCTCTGTGAAACTGCTAAAAGGTAAAGCTGCATGCCTTCTCTTATTTGTAACTATCAGAATTGCTGGCCTTTGTTTACCGGTACTGACCAGAGTAAGCACCCCCAGATAATTCCATCCTGGCGCCAAGCAACTGAAAAATCTGTGGACCCCACACCTGTCCAAATAATGTATAAACTAATGTTTATCTTAACCTCTGTAAACCACTTAAGTGGCAATTGGAATGACAAAAGTCCCCTGGCCCTTGAAATGTCCGGAGCCCCCCTCAACCTCGTCTCAGCCTAGGAGGTGATTGACAGCTTTCATTCCCATCTCCACTCCTCACCCCCACTCCCAAGGTGGTTTTGCAGGTATAAAAAGTCTTGTCACCCTTCTTTCTCTGCCACGGGTTGGAGAGACGTGAGTCCTCCGTGGTCGCCGGCAATAAATCCTGCAATTTGGCATACTTTTGTCTTGGTGTTGACTTTCTGTGCTCGGTCTGATACAATTCCATTTATATTAAGCTACAACCCAAAGTCAGTCTATGGTGAAGGGTGGCCAAATAGTGGGCACCTCAGGGAGGGAAGACAATACTGACAGGAAGAAATGCTATCTTGATCCAGGCAGTGGCCATAGCTGTATACATATGTAAAGGGGCACTGGATCTCTACTTTTTTTTGAGATAGGGTCTCACTCTGTTGCCCCAGCTGGACTGGCATGATCATAGCTCACAGTAAACCGTGAAATCTTGGGCTTAAGTGATCCCCTTGTAGTTGGGACTAAAGGCATGCGCCATCTAATTCATAAATTTTGGATGGGAGTTGGGAGGCAGGTCTCAAACTCCTGGCCTCAAGCAATCCATGCGCCTCAAGGTGCTGGGGTACAGGCGTGAGCCAGGACCTGTATTCTTGAAGATTTGTGCATTGTACTGTATGTAAATCTTACTACAGCAAAGTAATATTAAAAGGTTAAAAAAAAAAAAGCACTAACAATTACCTACAGAAGAAAAGACAAGTTGAGATTTCTAGAACAGCCACTGACTGGCTGGGTGAACGGTGTCACACCATACGCTGAGAAGCACAAAGTAACACACTCTATCTCTGCTCTTTTGCTTTGAATAAAATGCAGGAGCCAGACAAAACACTAATCAAGCCACTCCCTGCTGAAAATTTATTGCTGGAATTATGAAGCCTAGATTGCTCAGAGGCCCTGACGTTTGAGCCAGGCGCTGAGCTCGGTGCTTTATAGTCATTACTTCATATCCTTAACAAGCCCATGAGTTAAGACCAAACCCGCTTTAGAATTGGGAAACCAAGGGTCAAAAAAGCACTTTTCTCAGGATGAGAGAAAGCATATGTATCAATACATCTTGTACTCATCCATGCAGGACATTAGGGCGCTATGAACCTCAAAGACACTGGGTAGATGTCTGCAGAATGGACAAGGGGAAGACACGCAAATTTCTGAATGACTGACACTCAGAAGTACTGAACATCATGCTAAAGGCGACCTCCAGGGGAAGAGGCAGTCCTTCTATTAATACTAAGTCAGTAATAACCTCCCCATTTCCTCTTCTATCCTTACAACACAGGGCGTTGTAAGCCCACGTGTCCAAACGAAGGGAAAGAGTAATCATTTACACTACCGGCTAGCGTCTTTCACCGCACCGGAGACACCACGGGCAGCGCCCCCCATTGCGCAGGCGCCCAGGCTCGGCTCCGCCCCGCCGCGTCCCGTTCCGCGCTCACGCAGACGCAGGCCGGGTGCGCGACCGCGTACCTGCGCAAAGCTGGAGGCGCACACTTTTTTCTTCTTACTGGAGCCGTAGCCCCCGCCGCTGCTGCTGTTGTGGGAAGGGCTGGCCGGCCTTTTCTTGCTGTTCCGGACTATTCCGGGAGTGGAAGTGGTGGCCACAATTGGAATTTGAGCCGCCATCACACCCTCAGTCTTCCCCTGGTCCCCCACCTCTTTCCCAGCGCTGGCCCTGGAACTTCCTTTCCGCCGTTACTTCCGTCTTGATGCTGGAAAACCCGGCCTGGACCCAAAGCTGTCGCTGACTTCTCTCGGTGCAGTCTAAAAGGCGGAGCTCGGAACTGCCTGAGGCGTCCGGGCGGGAAGGTGGCAGCGGGCATAGTCCTCCCGTCGGAGCGCTCTGGGCGTGGGCCTTGGGTGGGGCACGTGCCTGGAAATCCCCAGTGATAGAAAAATAGAACATCTCCCAATCTTTTTAAGTAACTACGTTTTAAAGAATTGCGCGTTGTCTTTTCTCACGTAGTCAGAAGAGTAAGTTCTGTTGATGTGTCTGAGTGTAAAGCTGGGGTCATTCTCAGTACACCGCCAAGATACTGGCTTCCCCTTTCGCCCCTCGCTGTCTTCCCCGCGGAAAAGGTTTGATTATAAATAGTGCCCAAATGTATTTGAAGGGTAGAGTGGTTCTTAATCTCTTAAGATTCGCAGACTCTTGAGCATGGAATCTGTGCTTCCTACCCCACCCCCCGCGACCCCCTCCCCCCCATCAAATGTGTACAGACACAGACAAAATTTTACGGATCTCAGGGAGGTCACAGAGCTGCTAAAACCTATTTAGGAACCTCATTCCCCTCACCCGCCTTGTTCTTTGCCTCATTCTACCCTATATTTTTACAAAACCTTTGCGACACTGTGTAACTAAATGATTTATAATCTGGTGGTTAATGTCTTTTTTGGCTCCTGCTAGAATGTAATCTTTATGAGGGAAGGGTCAGTTATGTTTTGTCACTTATCCGTCCCCCCAATCACAGTACCTTGCAAGTCATTGGTGCATTATAAGATTTTTTTTGAGATGGAGTCTCGCTCTGTCACCCAGGCTGGAGTGCAGTAGCACGACCTCGGCTCACTGCAACCTCCACCACCTGGGTTCAAATGATTCTCCTCCCTCAGCCTCCCAAGTAGCTGGGATTACAGGTGCCCACCACCATGCCCAGCTAATTCTTTGAATTTTTAGTAGAGACGGGCTTTCACCTTGTTAGCCAGGATGGTCTCAATCTCCTGACCTCCTGATCCACCCGCCTCGGCCTCCCAAAGTGCTAGGATTACAGGAGTGAACCACCATGTCAAGTCTGTAAGTATTATTAAAGGATGTAATTAACGAATGAACTAAACTACCTGCATTGACTGGTGGAAGCTACTGTGTTCGAATATAGGAAGCTGATGTATATTAGTGTTGATATTTTAAATAAAAAGGCTGCACAATGACTTAGAGGTTAGAGAGAAGGAGCAGTTAGGGAAACCAGCAATACTGTAATGTAATTTCTCCTTTGGAGAAAGGAATAAACCTACTAGTGTTGAAATGTTCTCTCCCTACAGTCTTTGATAAACCAGACGAAAACAAGCAATGGGGAAAGGATTCCCTATTTAATAAATGGTGTTGGGAAAACTGGCTAGCCATGTGCAGAAAGCAGAAACTGGACCCCTTCCTGACACATGACACTAAAATTAACTCCAGATGGATTAAACACTTAAACATAAGACCTGGCACCATAAAAACCCTAGAAGAAAATCTAGGCAGAACCATTCAGGACATAGGAGTAGGCAAGGACTTCATGACTAAAACACCAAAAGCATTGGCAACAAAAGCCAAAATAGACAAATGGGACCTAATCAAACTCCACAGCTTCTGCACAGCAAAAGAAACAGTCACTAGAGTGAATCGGCAACCAACAGAATGGGAAAAAATTTTTGCAGTTTACCCATCTTACAAAGGGCTAATATCCAGAATTTACAAAGAACTCAAACAGATTTACAGGAAAAAAACAAAAAAGCCCATTCAAAAATGGGCAAAGAAAATGAACACTTTACAAAAGAAGACATACATGAGGCCAACAAAAATATGAAAAAATGCTCATCATCACTGGTCATTAGAGAGATGCAAATCAAAACCACACTGAGATACCATCTCACGCCAGTGAGAATGGCGATCATTAAAAAATCTGGAGACAACAGATGCTGGAGAAGATGTGGAGAAATAGGAACACTTTTACACTGTTGGTGGGAGTGTAAATTAGTTCAACCATTGTGGAAGACAGTGTGGCAATTCCTCAAGGCCTTAGAAATAAAAATTCCATTTGACCCAGCAATCCCATTACTGGGTATATATCCAAAGGACTATAAATCGTTCTACTATAAGGACACATGCACACGAATGTTCATTGTAGCACTGTTTACAATAGCAAAGACCTGGAACCAGCCCAAATGCCCATCGATGATAGACTGGACAGGGAAAATGTGGCACATATACACCATGAAATATTATGCAGCAATCAAAAATGATGAGTTCGTGTCCTTTGTAGGGACATGGATGAATCTGGAGAACATCATCCTCAGCAAACTGAAACAAGAACAGAAAATGAAATACCACATATTCTCACTCATAGGCGGGTGAGGAACAATGAGAACACATGGACACAGGGAAGGGAGTACTACACACGGGGATCCATTGGGGGGAATAGGGGAGGGACAGCGGGGGGAGGGGGGAGCTGGGGAGGGATAGCCAGGGGAGAAATGCCAAATGTGGGTGAAGGGGAGGAAGGCAGCAAAACACACTGCCATGTGTGTACCTATGCAACTATTTTGCATGTTCAGCACATGTACCCCAAAACCTAAAATGCAATAAAAAAGAAAAAAAAAAGAAATGTTCTCTCCCACACCCCATCTCCTGTCCTATCCTCATCTAAAAGCTAGTCTTTTCCTCATTCCTTAACTCAAGGACTCACCTCCAACAAACCAGTCGTCACCTAAGCAAACTCTCGCTGCTGCCCCACTCTCCTCCCATTTTTCACCTCCCAGCTCACTTCTCTCCTTCACTGCTCCTGCCCTGGTGAATCTGTACACCATGTCTGCATCCAAGCAACAGCCTCCAGGTGGAAGTTTTGGCCACCATCTTTCCTAATCCATTCCTGACCCCAGACACTGGCTGCCAGAATGGGCTTTCTAAATTACAAATCTAATCATACCACTTACTTTCTTATATTCTTCAGGGCCCTTTTACCTTCAGGGTAAAATCTTTTCTTTCCCCACCCCCAGGATGAGAACATTTTAGCTTGGCATACAAGGTCCTTAATAACTGGACTCCGCCCCATTCTGTTGCTTGGTTCCCAAAACTTAATTCTTTGTGTTCTATCCAAGGACTAACTCTATTTCCTAGAGTGTACATTGTTCTCTTAGCTCATCATATTTTATTATTTCCTCTCCTAGGAATGCTTAGTTCCTTGCCTGATTATCATCCATTTTGCCTCAATTCAGATGCTACTTCCAATGAAAAGCTTCTGTCATCCGACACACCCTCCTTCCCCTTCCCTTTCCCTGTCCTCACACCATGCACTGAGCACGGGGGACCTGCTGGGCTGCTTTCTGTCATCCCTTATTGAGTTCAAACACCCAACTCCCTACTTTTTTTTTTTTTTTTTTGAGACGGAGTTTCGCTCTCGTTACCCAGGCTGGAGTGCAATGGCGCAATCTCGGCTCACCACAACCTCCGCCTCCTGGGTTCAGGCAATTCTCCTGCCTCAGCCTCCCGAGTAGCTGGGATTACAGGCACGCGCCACCATGCCCAGCTAATTTTTTGTACTTTTAGTAGAGACGGGGTTTCACCATGTTGACCAGGGTGGTCTCGATCTCTTGACCTTGTGATCTACCCACCTCAGCCTCCCAAAGTGCTGGGATTACAGGCATGAGCCACCGCGCCCAGCCCAACTCCCTACTTTTAAGAAGTCAGAAAAGTGGATACATGGCCATCTGGCTTCCTGTTACTAAATTCAGTCCTGATCTTGTCTGATTTCTTCCTTTCTGAAATTCTTCCCATGGTATCTGAAACACCACCATTTTTTTGTTTTCCTCTCTCCTAGCCAGTCTTCTGTTACCAAATGGTCGCTAATGCTATTATAGGTATTTCAAAATATATAGTCACATGTCCCTGTAGAGTCACTTTTTAAAAGTTTCCCAGGTGATTCTCATGATCAGCCAGGTTGGCAACCAGACTCTTCCACTGAATCCTTAGATAGTGAGAGTTCCTTGGGGCTTGGTCCAAGACCCTCTGCCCTTCTCAGGCGATACTCTCCCCAGCCATTGCACCAATTCTTAGGGATTCATTTACCATCCAAATGCAGACCACTTTCAGATTTGCATGCCTTATCTGGCTCTTTCTTCAAAGATGCGTACCCAAAGCTGGGCAAAGTGGTTCACGCCTGTAATTCCAGCACTTTGGGAGGCTGAGGCAGGTGGATCACTTGAGCTCAGGAGCTCAAGACCAGCCTGGCCAACATGGGTGAAACCCCATATCTACTAAAAAAAACCCACAGAAATTAGCCGAGTGTGGTGGTGCCCACCTGTAGGCCCTGCTACTTGGGAGACTAAGTCACAAGAATTGCTGGAACCCAGGAGGTGGAGGTTGCAGTGAGCCGAGCTTCCACCACTGCACTCCAGCCTGGGCGACAGAAGGAGACTTTGTCACAAACAAACAAACAAGATGCATAACCAGATGTAAAATTCCTTTCCCAAATATAAACTCAGATGCTTACACACATCTTTCACTCTGCGTGGCAAAAACAGAATTCAGATCCTCTCTTCTCTGAAATGTGTTCCTCCTTTGGTGTTTCCTGTCCCAGCAAATGCCATGATTAGCTACCAGTTCTTCGAACCAAAACTTGGGAGTCATCCTTGACTCCTCCGCTTCCTCCACTCCACACCATAACCATATTCCAGCCACCATCTTTCTCTGGACTTGCAAAGTGGCCTTATGAGTTCTTTTTCTGCTTCCACCTTTGGTCCCTGCAACCCAGTCCCAACATGTCATTCCAGATGATTACTTTGAAGATACAAATGTGCATTTTTCAGATCACACCCCACTCCCGTGCTTGAAACCATTCAGTGGCTTCCTGTGGTCCCTAGAATGAAGCCCATTGTCCATAAGGTGGTTCCAAAGATCCTTAGAGACCTGCCATCTCTCCAGCTTGCCTCTGTCCCAGGTCCCTGCATTCCTGCTCAGTTTTCACTTTTGTTAGTTCCAGCAACCAGCTGTGCCCCTTCTTCCTCAGGCCTTGACACACTGCTTCTCCTGCCTGGAAGCTGCTTTTCTCCCAGCCCCACCCTCCTCCGGTCTTACTAACTTCCACGTACCCTTTCCATCTTGGCTGACACACTATATTTTCTGTGTTCCCTCTCCTCTGGTCTGGTTTGACGTTCCCATTAATCTCAATGATTAGTGATTAAT